CCTTCCGGAGACGAGGATTGCCAATGTCGGAACTCTGTCTGCAACAAAGCTTATCAGCTGAGAACCGTTGAAAGGAATGATGAGGTCCTTGCTGTCGCCACCAGATTCGCAATAAGGAGCTTCGCCCACGACTACAATGGAGAACGAGAATTGTTGATTTGAAAAAGTGTCCAGGGATGGATTTTGCTCGTATACCACTTCGGTTTCCCCTCCCACTGAAGCTCTGATAGCATCCAGGATTGTCGTGCCTAAAAGAATTGATATCGGGAATTCAATCTTCGTGCATACAGGAGAAACAAGAGTGAAATATACAATCTTTTTTCCTTTTTTGAGTAAAGACGAGATGAACATACAATCTAAGTGCAACACGACACAAAAAATAAGTGCTCGGGGTATAGTGTCACGTTATAACTTACCAATAGTAATTCTGCCACCTTGTCCTTCCCAAGTTTTAGTCCACCCTCCACACTGAAATCCAAGATCATCTGCATGCTGTCCCGCAACAAGGATTCTCTTAGCGTTCTTATCTAGGGGAAGGAATGGTTTTGTCGTGTCCTTCCCATTCTTCAGGAGAACCAGAGACTTGCGAACTGCTTCACGTGCCAGATCCCGGTGTAGCTGAAACAATTGTTCACACTTTTAAAATCCCGCATTTCACACCCACAAAGTTTTCATTTTATGCCTCCTGTTTTCTAATAAATTACGATAATATAAGAGGACATGTAAAATAAGGTGCCACAAAATCCATGCAGTCTTCTCTCTCTCTAGTTCGATCTAGTTTGAAAGTTAATCGCATAACAGCAAAATATAGAACTCAATTATTAAGGAGAGGGATGTATTAGCTTACTTTACAACCAACTTTATCCAACAACGACCTATCGCTCAGTGGGTACTCAAAAAGTCCAGATACAAACTTCACTCTCAGGATCCGTTCAACAGCATCGTCAATTCTGGTCATTGGTATCTCCCCAGATTCAACCAGACATCTTAGGTCATCAAGACATAATTGATAACGTAAGGGCACCATCACCTGTAAATTCATTAATTGATGTCTTGTATGGATTATAAAAACATTAGTTAAACAAACAAATTCTAACTTTGGACTTTGGAGAAACGGGCAATTTATAAGAAAATACCATATCGATTCCAGCATTGATGGCTGCCAGAACGCAACGCCGATAATTTGATCCAAAAGGATTAGAGAGTCTGTCTAGTGCAGCACAATCAGTAATGATAAAGCCCTACAAAAATGGAATCATTTACATTTACCATATAACAAACTAGATCATTTAGATGCATTAAATAAATAAAAACTACTACTTCACTATTTTCTTTTTTCTGAGTGACGAGGGAAACCCGCAGCCACTACCCGAGAGTGCGCACTGGGTAAACCCCGCCTTATAACCCTAGCCGGCAAAGGATCGCAATGAGATAAACCAGCCTAGGTTGCCTATAGCTGACCGGTGGCCATGTGCAACATTTTATCCAACAAGGAGATGGAAAAATTAATGACAAACTGTAATAAATTATGACCATTAAATATCATTGTCCGATTTTCAAATTTCCAATCAACCCAAGCAATATGATATTGAGAAGTGTTCCCTGAACCATAAATCTATCTTTCTCGTTTTCTATTCAATGCTCTTAAATCCTGACACAATTGTCAGAGGATCATAATGATGCACCGTAAAGCATACAAGCCACTCAAAATTGGCACGTGCTTGAGCAATACAAGTAATTCATCATTTATATGAAAGAATTGCCAAGCAAAATGTATAAATTCTCACAAAGAATGGCCATTATTACCTTGAATCCTAGCTTTCCTTTCAAAACGTCTGTAAGAAGAAATTTACTTGTGTGCATTTGGGTCCCGTTCCAGCTGGAGTAGGAGGCCATAATAGTGCAAACTCCCTGAGAAAGACAGTCAAGATAAGGAGCCAGATGAATTCTCTCCAGATCCTCATAAGGTAATATGGTATTCCCCTCGTTTCTACCTTCATGAGTACCCCCATCTCCAACAAAATGCTTAGCACAGGCAACAACATTGTTCCTAGAGTAAAATACATAAATTCAAGGGATTTAAATCCATAGTTTAAAGTTCGTGTGAGACTCTTCTACATAAATTGGATTAAAGCTCCAACCTCACTTAGTACATATCTGATGACCATGTAATCATAAAGCAGAAAAAGGACAAATTATTGGAATTAATTTTCCCCTTTTCCGGATGATTAAATATTTCTGCATGCTTCTAAGAGAGTAAAGAAGTCTTCAGCTCAAACTATATAGATTCTAATGTATCTCCGTGCTTAAACCATTTGTTGTACATATGAAAGCAGCTCAAAGAAAGTAACAATACAATATGGGTTATTAGTAATAACTAGAGAGGTATGCAATAAGAGTGGTAAAAAGAATTATTTTTATTGTAACGAGTATAGCTACCTTCCAGCTAGAAAGGGATATCCACTTGGGTGGCCAGGGGGTGGTTGCCCTTGTAATCCTGTAATGACAGACGCCATCTTTCTAACTATTTCAGTGTCTTCACTAAAACTCTCATAACATCTTCCCCATCTCGGATCTTTACATACCTGTTTCCAGGAATCAAAATGAAGAAAAAAAAAAGTTGAGGTAAATACCTGTAAAACTTAAAGGGGAGGGGGGCATGGCAAGGTATGCAGGTAAGTGAGAGAATCAGAATACCAGAGAAAATGAGAAATTCAACAAATGGTCTGAGATCTCAACTCCATTATGGCAAACAAATCAGGCCTAAAAGTTTTAGTTTTATGCTTATATGATGCATGTTATGTTATTCGAGATTCTGAATCCAATCCTTCACATTCACTCATTTCCAAATTTTTTGACTTTTTATGTTCATAACAACAGCTCAACTCAACACCAGAAGAGGATAACAGACTAGACAAATACCATCAATTGCCAATTTTCAGAGTTGGCAAGAACAAAAAGAATGTTATTCATTTCATTTATAAAAAAGATGCACTTTCTATACAAGCTTTTTCTTGCCCACAAAAGGTGAAATTTTCTTGCCCACAAAAGGGCCACAACCCGCCCGACAGAATAGGATATTGGAGAGGTAAATCACGGGCTCATTAGATAAGAGCCACATTGGGGCCCACCGGAACTCCCGGGCTGCCAGAGCTTGGTCCTGTGTGTTACCCACAATCTACCACCCAGGAGGGAAGGCCCTATTTGGTAAAAAAGTTAGCCTATCAGTCAATTTTGGCTTATTTGACCACTATTAATTGTTTGACTTGTTAAAAAAATCAATATAAGTGTTTGATTAATTAGCTTTTTGTAACTCCAAAATGTTAAAATTCAAAAAGCCGCTCAAAGCAACTTTTTCAATTAGTTTTTTGAGAAAAGAAAGTATACCAAACAGCTATAAGCTAAAGCTAATTTACCAAACACCTTTCTACAATCAGCTAATGTTATCAACCAATTATGCCCTCTAATTAACCAAATCAGCTAACATCCATTTACCAAATTGGGCCAATATTCTTCATATGTATAGGAGATTAGGAACTCACTGCAACACTGGGAGCAAAGGTGTAAGTACTGCCACTGGCCCTGACTTCAAGAGCAGTCGCAACCCCAATCTTCTGAGCCAATTCATCGTCTCTGCGTCACATTTGATCCTCTAAACTGTGACTAGGAACAATCCAGGGTTCTACACAAAGCATACATACAGTAAGGGTAGGTTTAATTTGTTAACCTGGTAGCTCCGAGGCCTATATTATGAGGAAAAATGGTGGCACCGTAGACATTATTGTTCCCATGGACCGCATCAACCCCATAGATTAGCGGAATGCCGAGGCGCGACTCCAACGCCGCTCTTTGGAACCCGTCGATCATATCCGCCCAATCCTTGGATAAGGCGTTCTCGAATGGGCCACTCCCGCCAACACTCAAAATACTCCCTGAAATCCCAAACAAAAAAACCCTCAATTTAGGAGATAAAAATGGATGTATCTGAGAAGATAATAATACAGTGTGTTTATATACCGATAGAGAGGTCTCTGAGGACGGAAGGAGTGGCGACGGAGCGTTCGATTTGGGTCATCTGGCCGAGCTTTTCTTGCAGGGTCATTCGGGAGAGGAGGTCCTTCACTCGGGCCTCCACCGGAGCTCTCGGGTCCCTGTAAATGCAATCCTCCATGGTTGATTGTGATCGATTTTCCGGTGATCAAAACTACAGATGCGAAGACGATGAGGAGTAGGAGATTCTCTGCCTAATCTTCTCCCCGATTCTCCAATACTATCTACAAAGCAGTAGTCAAATTTTGAGTAGGCGGAGTTTGCTATGGGCTATGGCGACTTTGGCCGTTGTGAGTTCGTCACTCCCCGACACCAAATCAGCAAGTACCAACCACCACGTGGAGTATAACTTCTTAATTTTTCTAAGCTCATATCATTTTGTCGCAATCAGCTTATCGATCATATTCATATCATAGTTTTATCGATCATATTCTAGTTTTCATATACGCACAAAGGATCTGATCTACATTATTAGGTAAAAATGAAATTTGGAGCTTATTACACAAAAGTGAGGTTTACCTATGCATAATTTCTTGTATAATTTGCGAATGAATTGCCGACTATAATGCAAAAGCGAGATTTGCAATCTATTACACAAGAACAAGCGGGATTTGCAATCTATTACACAATAGCAGGATTTATCTGGCGTACAGCAAAAGTGGGATTTGCAGTTTATTACACAGGAACAGGTTTACTTAATGTATAACAAAAGTAAAATTTGCAGCTTAATACACAAGAGCGCGATTTTTCTCGTGCATACTTTCAGAGCCGGTTTCGATCGTCACCCAAAACAAAAAATAATAATAGTAACGATAAATATTTATGTTTTCAATAATATTAAATAGGTTAACTAATTTTCAGACAAATATATTGCTTAGAATTATTTTCGAAAAAGTTTAATGGGTGGGAAAGCAGCAAACTTCATTCTAAAACATCCATAGCAATAAAATATTTTATTGGAAACAAATTCTTTTCAATGTTCATTCTCTTAAAGCTAACATTAGTTTAATATGTTACAACAAACTTGAAGCAAAATTGAAGAGGGTTCAACTGCTTTCACATCTAAAAAGACAAAACTACTACAAGAGTACGTACACATAAACATAGTGGTCATGAATCAATCTTTAAGGTTAGTGTTACTATAGTCCCTTTCACCTGAGCCAATGTTAGTTTCATTAGCCTTCTGGTGGTCTGAAGCATTTTCAGAATTCATTGGTTTTTCTGAATCCTGACTGCCATGATCTTTACCTGCATCTCCTCTGGATGTACTTGTTGCAGCGTCGGCTTCATTTTGTATCCAGTGTTCGCCTTCAAGATCTTGACCTTTACTTGGATGAACTGATTGTGAAGTTTGAGGTTGTTTGGTAACAAAATCATGTGAAGGCAATCCCCGCGATGATTCTCCTTCATGGCTTCCTTGAAAACTTGGTGCCTTATCATTATCATTGTTAACTATAATTAAATTGGGAATTTCCCTCTCATTCTCAATTGGCTTCTCAGAAAGATCTGGTGTTGCCTGTCCAGAAGAAAACCAGACAAGTAAAATATTTTGATGTCTATTGTTGACCGAGAGAATATTCGGGACAAAAGTTGAAATGCATAGAGTGAATAGGAAAAAAGATGAACATAAACACGATAAATATACCTCTCTTTCAATGGAATTAGCACTGTGGGTTGAGTCGCTCTTTTCGTTTACGGCCTTAGACACATCAAAGTTGCCGACTTCATTGACAGTAAAACTTATGGACTCGCTTTCAACAACATTATTGACATTTGATTTCACTGCAGCAACTGGCTGGGTTACAAATGCATTTGTATGATTATCACTGCTGGTTTCGTTAGAGGACTTGTCATGATCGTTTGATTCCAAACGATGGGTTGAGTCGCTCTTTTCGTTTACAGCCTTAGACACATCAAAGTTGCTAACTTCATTGACAATAAAACTTCTGGGCTCGCTTTCAACAACATCATTGACATCTGATGATCTCACTGCAGCAACTGGCGGGATTACAGATGCATTTGTATGATTATCACTGCTAGTTTTGTTAGAGGACTTCTCATGATCGTTTGATTCCAAACGATGGGTTGAGTCACTCTTTTCATTTACATCCTTAGACACATCAAAGTTGCTAACTTCATTGACAATAAAACTTCTGGGCTCGCTTTCAACAACATTATTGACATCTGATTTCACTGCAGCAACTGGCTGGATTATAGATGCATTTGTATGAGTATCACTGCTGGGTTCATTAGAGGACTTCTCATGATCGTTTGATTCCAAACGATGGGTTGAGTTGCTCTTTTCGTTTACAGCCTTAGACGCATCAAAGTTGTTGACTTCATTGACAATAAAACTTCTGGGCTCGCTTTCAACAACATTATTGACATCTGATGATTTCACTGCAGCAACTTGGTGGATTACAGATGCATTTGTATGATTATCACTGCTGGTTTCATTAGAGGACTTCTCATGATCGTTTGATTCCAAATGATGGGTTGAGTCGCTCTTTTCGTTTACAGCCTTAGACACATCAAAGTTGCTAACTTCATTGACAATAAAACTTCTGGGCTCGCTTTCAACAACATTATTGACATCTGATTTCACTGCAGCAACTGGCTGGATTACAGATGCATTTGTATGATTATCACTGCTAGTTTTGTTAGAGGACTTCTCATGATCGTTTGATTCCAAACGGTGGGTTGAGTCGCTCTTTTCGTTTACAACCTTAGACACATCAAAGTTGCTGACTTCATTGACAATAAAACTTCTGGGCTCGCTTTCAACAACATTATTGACATTTGATTTCACTGCAGCAACTGGTTGGATTACAGATGCATTTGTATGAATACCACTGCTGGTTTCGTTAGAGGACTTCTCATGATCGTTTAATTCCAAACGATGGGTTGAGTTGCTCTTTTCGTTTACTGCCTTAGACACATCAAAGTTGCTGACTTCATTAACACTAAAACTTCTGCACTCGCTTTGAACAACATTATTGACGTCCGATTTCACTGCAGCACCTGGCTGGATTAAAGATGCATTTGTATGATTATCAATGTTGGTTTCGTTAGAGGACTTCTCATGATCATTTGGTTCCAAACGATTGGTAGTCATCTCCGATTTGGGCAGTCTCTCAGCCTCTTCTGTACAATCTATCTTCAAAATCGCCTCCGAGATCACTGATGCCGCATTGGTATGATTACTAGTACTGGTTTCCTCAACAATTGGCTTATGTACTTTTCCCTCGAGGTGGGTTTCTCCCTCGGTCATTACAAATGCATTTGTATGATTATCACTGTTGGTTTTGTTAGAGGACTTCTCATGATCATTTGGTTCCAAACGATTGGTAGTCATCTCTGGTTTGGGCGGTCTCTCAGTCTCTTCAGTACAATCTATCTTCAAAATCTCCGTCGGGATCACTGATGCCGCATTGGTATGATTACTGGTACTGGTTTCCTCAGCAACTCCCTTCTGTACTGTTCCTTCGAGGTGGGCTGTTCCCTCGACCATTACAGATGCGTTTGTATGATTATCACTGCTGGTTTCGTTAGAGGACTTCTCATGATCGTTTGATTCCAAACGATTGGTAGTCATCTCCGATTTGGGCAGTCTCTCAGTCTCTTTAGTACAATCTATCTTCAAAATCTCCTCCGGGATCACTGATACCGCATTGGTATGATTACTGGTACTGGTTTCCTCAGCAACTGGCTTCTGTATTGTTCCCTCGAGGTGGGCTGCTCCCTTGACCATTACAGATGCATTTGTATGATTATCATTGCTGGTTTCGTTAGAGGACTTCTCATGATTGTTTGATTCCAAATGATTGGTAGTAATCTCCTGTTTGGGCAATCTCTCTGTCTCTTCAGTACAATCTATCTTAAAAATCTCCTCCGGGATCACTGATGCCACATTGGTATGATTATTGGTACTGGTTTCCTTAGCAACTGGCTTCTGTACTGTTTCCTTGAGGTGGGCTGCTCCCTCGATCATTTTAGCTTCTTTATTTTCTGCCATTGAAGGACCTTGAAGACCTCGTTCTTCATTTAAGCGTGGAAGATCACCTTTAGTCATTTCCAGTTCAGGTGGACCTCCAGCCTCTTTAATAGAATTAGTGTTCTGTATCTCCTTCTGGATTACAGGTGCATTTGTATGATGATTATCGCTGCTGGTTTCCTTAGAGGAATACTTGTGATCATTTGATTCCAAACGATGGGTAGTTATCTCCCGTTTGGGCAGACCCTCAGTCTTTTCAATATAATCTATCTTCAAAACCTCCCCCGGGATCACCGATGCATTGGTATGATTACTGGTACTGGTTTTCTCAGAATACTTCTCGCAATCATGTGGTTCTGAATGATGAGCACTAGTTTCAAGTTCGGGCAGACCTTCGATCTCTGCAACAGAATCTTTGTTTTGTGTATCCTCATGAATCACCAAAGGAATCATATGATTATTTCTGATTTCCTCAAAATACTTCTCGCGATCATGTGGTTCTGAATGATGGGCACTAGTTTCAAGTTTGGGCAGACCTTTGGTCTCTGCAATAGAATCTTTGTTTTGTGTATCCTCATGAATCACCAAAGGAATCATATGATTATTTCCAGTTTCCTCAGAAGACTTGTCAAGATCATACGAGCTATTTCCGGTTTCCTCAGAAAACTTGTCATGATCATACGATTCTGAACGAGGGGCAGTAGTCTCCAATTTGGGCAGACCTTCAATCTCTTTAGTAGAATCTATATTCAGTATCTCCCTTTCCTGGATCATTGAAGACTTGACATGAGTATCACTGTTGGATTCATCAGAAGAAACATGGTTGACTTCTAAACCAACTTGTGATTAAACAAGCAAATATATTTTCATTGAAACACGATGGCTACCCGAATTCCATGAAATCTACAGTTCTGTTCATAAATATGAAAATATGGAGTAAAAAATAATCACCAACCTGGTGGTGCACTGTTGGGATATCAGCTAATAACTGCAATGATTCATGAGAAGTTGTGGGATTTGAAATGTCATATGTTACTTGATGTGTGGTTTCTGCTATCTGATTTTGAGACTGTGGAACCTCCATTTGCGGTTCCTGATCCCAGTTCGAAGAGGCTAGATCCAACGAAAACTTTGTTTGTGACATGGAGGTAGAAGATGAAGATGAGCTTGAGGAGGAAGTTGAAATTTGTTCAGCCACAGATTCAGGATCATCAGAGCTCTGGTTAACCATGGAAGAGCCTAAGTCTTCATCACGTCGTTCTGCAAAACCATATTGTTGATCCTCATAATGGATCTTGCTTACGAAACTTGAGGATGAGTCTTGATTCATTGAAAACATTGGTTGAGATTTGGGAGATGTGGACGAACTAGGCACGTCTGGAACATGTTCATCCCCGGATTCTAGGATTAGCAGTGTTGTTTGGGGGGCATGTCCACTCTGATTTGCAACAGAAAATCCCCTTTCACTTGGTGGTTCAACAGCTCTATCTTGAGTAACTTCTCTAACATCATTTTTCTCGATTGACATTGAATTTTCTCCATTCTTATCTGCCTCGGCAGGTGAAAAGGAATCCTGAGCCATATGATCATTCAACAAAAGATTTGAGGTTTCATTCTCTACTTTGTGCACATTAGCATCCTGAACCTCCACACGCGCTTCTTGATCCAAATTTGAAGTATCATTCTCTACTTCGCCTATTAGCGATGGAGCAGAGGCAACATGAGCTTGTTCAAAGACAGGTTCGGGTGGGACTGATGCTTCAAGATCAGCAGGGCTTTCACTAGCTTCAGAAATCGCCAATTCTCCATCAATCTTTGCATGGCTGTTGCGTTTAACCAGCTCTATAATGTCATTTTTCGCAATAGAGGCTGACCTTTCTCCACTTTTATAAGCATGTGAATCTGCAAATGAAGTTGAATCAACAGGATCTTGTTGGATTACTCTCTCTGGTGGGGTGTGCAGCGTGGGATTGATGTTTGAAAATCCAGACTTGACTAAATCTTGTTCAGTGACATCGCGTACTTCCAGCCTAGATGGGCGAGATGAGGCAAGCAATGTACATTCGTTGCCAGAGGCAGTGTCTTTTTCCAGCTCCCTATTATACACCGAAATCTCTTCCTCTAGAGAAGAGGCTCCATCAACAGACCTTGGAGGAGAACCGATTTCAGAAACCTCTACTTGCAGGTCAGAAGCAACCGAATGGCTAGGAGTAGGAAGCATGGCACCATTGGCATAGTAGTAATGCTCCTCCATTCTCGCTTTCTGGGACATAGACGGTCCAGGATTCAAACTTTCCTGGTTGTCCACAACTATGTTCCTCGAAGATGAAGGCGTGGTGGTAAGTGACTTCAAGATTGCATCTTTATCGATCCTGTAGAATGGCTCATCGTCTTCTTCTGAAGAAGACGAGCTTGTCCTGTCATCAATATCTTCAATTAGTACTGATTTTATTTGCACTTCGCTCCCATCTTCTTGGGGATGGGCAGAGGCCTGTTCTTTGACATCACTGGTGCTTTCTTGGTTCAGCTCCTCGGGTTCTTCAACTAAAACCTGCTCGATTACCCTATCTGTAGCATCTTCCTTGTTAACTACAAGCAAAAGTGTCAGATACTCAAAACATACACAAACAGGGGCGGAGCTAGAAAGTATGGGTTAGGGGGAGCCAAATTTATAGAAGAAATTTATCATGTTAGTCGACATTAGTACCAACCATACAATATCATTATATATACCATACATGATTGTGCTGATTATTATTGATAATTATTTTTATTTATACTATGTGCAATAATATATGAAATATATAATTATATGAATACGAATGTACAATTGTTAAGGTTGTCGAACATTACTTTATCACTAAGTTATAGGATAATTGTAAAATTTATTTCTAATTGTTGATCGTTCTCACTTTTCGTCCCTAACATGTACTCCGTAATTGATATTGCAGATTTCGTTCCTTTACTAACAAAAAGAAGAAAAGAAACAGGCTTACCCAATGGAGTTCTTTTTCTGTAACCTTCAGGCCTCTCAAAAAGCTTAAACCTGTGTGGGAAACGAGAGTTGAAATCCTCATTGAATGAAGGACCTAAAGTGAAGCTCTCATGCCTGCAGAACATAAAATCCTGATTAGGAACCATGAAGTCCTGGTGGAAGCTTCCTCCTCTGAGATTCGGCTTCTCTTCGTGCTGATCATAGGGAAGATCGAAGGGGTTGTGGGCTGGCAACAGAACCGAAGGAGCAGAGCCCGGGGTAGGCGAAAATGGATTGCTCGAACCAGCATTGGTGGTTTTGGGAATCACAATGGCCATTGGAGGATCATCACTGCCAATATTCATCAATGTCCTCCTCACATGGAGGCTCACCAGCCTTCTCGCCCTTCGCCTCGCCATCAAACTCTCCAGCCTCTTGTTCCTCTCCATCTCCGAAAGATCCTCCTGGTTCCACTGCACACCCTTCTTCTTCCTCTCCCTCCTCATACCCTCTTCATTCTCAGAGTTACTATCTGTCATTTCATTCTCACTCTCATCCATAACCCTAAATGATTTCCGCCATGCCTTGGAAACCCCTTCCACGCATAAGCTCTGAGACGCATCAGACGAAGAAGAACATTCCGCCGCCGCCCGGTCGCTCACAGAACGAACCTCCACCTCCACCTCCACCACTTCCCTAATATCCTTCATGTTCTCTTCTGTCACAGGACTTTTATCAACCATCTCGTGCTCATTAAAACCCGCCAAGATTGAGCCGCCCTCTTCCTCAACATACGGCGGGAAATCCTTCTTCGATTTCCTCCGCCGCACAGATTGAGCGCGCCCGATCGCTTTCTTTTTCTTCTCATCATCTCCGGCCAACTTGATTTTTCCAGAGGGTGATGATTTGAGATCCGCATTTTTTCTGTTCTCAGCTCCGCCGGCGTCTTTGGGACGCTCCGGGAAGTATTTTATTTTGATGGTAACGGCGGCGATCAGGGCAACAGGAAAGGAATAAATCAAGAACCAGAAGATTGTCGACAAGAACACATACAATATGAGGATGATTACGAAAACTAGCGAGGCCAAAGGATGTTCCCTTGCGAAAGTGCAGCATAATCTCATCCAGAATCCAAGGAAAACCCATAAATACTTCTGAACATCCTTTCTAGTGATCCCCATTTTCTTCTCTCTCTCTCTCTGCTAGGCTACAAAATTCAAGAATCAGACGGAGATATTGGAGATTAACCTGGAGGAATTGAAGTAACAGACATCAAACGAGCTGGGAAAATGCATATATGCGTGGACTGAAAATCAAAATGCATTAGTGATTTGGTGGGGAAGATGATAGATGGCCTGGCATTATGAGATTGATTGCGTGAGATAGAAGAAATGGAGTGGGGGTATTGCGATCGAAACTGTTTTTCTTTGCGTCTTCCGATCTGAAACTAAGACAAATTTTTGTTTGGCTAAGGTTGTAAGAGATCCTCCATCCCAGGAACTGTAGCGGTGTTCCCGCTGCTTTAGCGGGATCAGTAAAAGTAGATGGACGTACGGATCATGAATTATTCATCATATTTTTGCCTCAAAAATCTTGCAAACTACCCTTTTTAATTTCATGTTAGTGGCGGGTACAACTAACATTTTATTTTCTTATTCAAAACGATGAATATTATGTATTATATATTGAATAAAATCGATGATTCGATGACATTTAAATGTTGTAATTTTTTGAGTCGTGTTAAAATTAAATGTTTATGCATTTAATTAAACACGTGTCAATTATTCAGCATCTCATCAACATCAATCGTTTCAAGATAGGACACAGTATCATTAAACATTAAAAAATTATGGAAGGGATTCTTTATCAAGAAGAGCTAGCTTGGTTCCAAAGGTTTAGGGAGGAGTGGATTGTCTCGGGAGATAGGAATACCCAATATTATTATGCGATTACGAAAGTCAGACAAGCTACTAAAAGCTTCATTAGTCTTTGTAAAGATAATGGGGATTGGAGCTGGTACGGGACGAAAATGAGATGGCCAATATGATCCTGCAGAATCACTTTCATCACCTTTTCACTGAGAAGAATCCGGTCAATCAGCACTGGTTTGTTCCTTGCAATTTTTCGAGAGTTCTTCCTGATAATTTGTTTTTAATTTACTTTGTAGGGAAATCACTATTTAAAAAGTAAGGAAAGCCTGGCTTATAAAACACCAGGTCCGGATGGGTTCCATGCTGGCTTCTACCAAAAAGCACGAAAGGTGGTGGGATATGATCTCATCACAAGGATGGTTAACGATTATTTCAGAATTGCATTGATGAGGGATAATTGGAACGACACTTTGATCTCACTTATACCGAAAGTCAAGTATCTTGATAGAATGACCCAATTTAGACTTATCAGACTATGTCATGTCAAATACAAAGTTATCACTAAGGTTATTACTAATAGACTTAAAACTATTATGATGGATGTTGTTATGGTGAAGAACATAGTAGTTTCGTGTCAGAGCGTCAAATTGTGGATAACATCGTGATTTACCAAGAGTTGTTGCATTCTATGAGATTGAAGAATGGAAAAGTGGGCTCCATGATCCTTAAAATTGACCTGAAAAAAGCCTACGATAGACTTTCTTGGAACTTCATACAAGAAACGCTGAAGGGCCTCGGTATTCAAGATCATTGGATCAATGTAATCATGGGATGTGTTGAAACCACACGTTTGGGCATCTTATGGAAAGAAAACCAAATGGATTGGATTTACACAACCCGTAGACTTAGACAGGGTGATCTAATATCACCTTATCTCTTTGTCCTTTGTATTGAGAGACTCACCCACAAGATCAAAGAGGAAGTCGAGCAAAAGAGATGGAAAGGCATCAAAACCTCAAGGTATTGCCCGGAACTCTCTCTCATCTCTTTTTTGCTGATCAGCAAAAAAAGAGATGAGAGAGTTCCTTAGTAGCTTTTGCAATTAAGATCATATCATCATGATGATATGATCTTAATTGCAAAAGCTACTAAGGAACAAATGCTGGTGATCAATGATTTCCTGGAACAATTTGAAGGGAACTCCGGGCAAAAGGTCAGCTTACATAAGTCTAAAATACATTTTTTCCAGATGCTCCGGGCAAAAGGGATGCTGCGTTTAATTCTTCTCAGATGCCTACAGGTTGTGGAGGAATTATGCAGAGTGGGAATGGTGATTAGATCGGAGGATATAGCTGCTCCATGAAGGCTAACAGTGCTATGGAGGGTGAAGTTCGTGCCATTTGTACTGCTTTGAATTGGGATTGGAACAAATTAAAGGTAACAAAAGGTATGCATTGTGAGTGATGCAAAAATGGTGGTTGATTGGATCAATGAAGGATCGGAACCGAATGATTCCGGTCTATGGCAATATAATTAGAGCTTGTAAGGAGTGGTTCCAACAAGATTGGGAGGTGAAAATAATCCGGCTTGCCAAGATGACAATTTTGAAGAAGTGCAATTGGATTGAGCTGTTAGAACCGCCTTGCGAGATTATCAAGATGCTAGACTTAGGGGGTGTATTTAATCATGACTTTCATAGAGTTTTAAAGACTTTTATAAACTTTAAAAGTTTGGGGTATTCAATTCAAACTTTTAGAAAGTCTTTAAAAGTCAGGCGGTATTCAATCAAGATTTTGAAAGAGTCTTTAAAAGTTCGATTAAGACTTTTAGAGAGTCTTTAAAAGTCACATGATATTCAAAAAGTTATGAACTTTTGTAGATTTTTTAATTTTAAGACTTTTGTAGATATTTTCTTCTCAAATATAAATAGTTGAAATCCAACTATCAACCCTCATATTTCAAAATTTTCTTTCTAACAACTTTGAATGTTTTCTCTCTCTATTGACACTCTATTTTTTTCTCCCAATTTAAACTTTATAAACCTATCTAAATTTAATAAAATTATTTTTTCTTCATTATCCTATATTTTCCTCATACCTAAACTCTACCAATTTTTCTCTCTCTCCTAAACTTTATAATCTTCCTCTAAAAATTCGAAATAATATTATTTTTACTTCATTATTGCTTGTTTATATTGATTTTTATTTTTCTATGAATTTTTTATCCTTAACTTTCTCTAATTCTCCCTAAATACATGAACAAAGCAAATTTTTCATCATCAAATATGTTTCATGATATTCATATAAATACTTATATATTTTGATTTTTATTCTTTTTATGTTTATATTCGTAATATATATATATATATATATATATATATATATATATATATATATATATATATATATATATATATATATATATATATATATATATATTTTAACAAGTTACTACGAATAGCGAACTACTGTTCGCAACAATAATTTTGGGTTGCAAATAATAACACCTTGTTGTTGTTCCTAGTCTCAAATTACTATTGCAAATAATAGTTCTTTGCGTGATGCCTAACAATATATCAAGTATAATTTTATATATGTATATATTATAAATATTAGATTTTTATTTTTTTTATTTTATACAACTTGTAATTATATTTTTAAATATTTTATTTGATCGATTCTTTTATTATAAATTTTATTATTCAATATTGTTATGCATTTCTAATGAAATAATTTTTTTTATGTTTATTAATAATATATATAAGTAATTAGCATATAAATCTCAACATACTATGGATAAAAATAATAATGTTGAGAATGTTGATGTGGGTGAAGATCTACATAATAAGAAAATTTTATGATATATTATAAATGTTTTGTAAGAAAATTATATAAATGATAAGAATCAAAATTATTGAAAGTTTGTAAAGATGTATTCAATTTAGAATTTCAATGACTTTTGTAGACTTTTTAAAATAAAAAGTTGATAAAAGTCTATGAATGTTTTTTATATAGATATTTATAGAGTCTTATAAAGTTTTAAAAAGTTTTGAACGACTCCATAAAAGTTAATTAAAATTTATTAAAATATATTATTTTAAAAATTTTTAAAACTCTACAAAATTCATGATTGAATACACCTTAGAAAAAGTTAAATTGTCCTTTAGTAAAGAGGATGATTGAGCGCTTGTGTTGTTTAGGTTCCCCTCCGTTTTTCCCAAAACCCATATAAAAAAATGGAAAAACAATGAGTTCACCAATAAATAAGATAATAAAAACAAGTGGCTGGAAATGAACTCTTACCTTTACGTTCTTATTACTCGGTATTTGATAAAATTTAAAAAGTAATAAAAATTATAATAAGCTCTAACTGTAAGTATGAAAAATGCTATTTTTTTCCAATTAAAAATTACTCTTTAATGTTCACATCTAACTTAAAATGGTTCATTTTTGAAAGAGTATTATGTGAGAAGAATAATATTTTTTTAGTACTATTAATTCTATTACAATGTTGTAACATTTCTAGTAAAAATGTAAGATTTTTATTAGTTAAAACAATAATATTTTTCAATAAAAATATTTCATCTGTCTCATTTTATTTGTCATATTTATTATTTATTGGTTAACCTAATTATTTTTCTTTGCTTATTTCTATTAACATTTTATTATAATTTTTAAATTTAATTATTTTGTGTTTAATAGTACTTTTAATGTAATTTTTAAATATATAAATTTCATATTAATTCTCAACTTAATATTATGAAAAATTAAATTGTAAATAACTTCAGTCAAACCTCGTTAACTCCGTACTCGACACATAAAATGTGACAGAGAGAGTATATTATTTGTCGACCCATGGTTATATTATATTTTCGTTAAAAAGTACTTTCAATGCCTCATGTTACATGTTTACTATTATTTGGTCTAACCAATTATTATTTCTTTACTTATTTTCTTGGAATAAGGGTCAAATAAGTCACTCAATTGCACACGAAATTACAACTAGGTCATTGAACTAAAAAACAATATAATTAGGTCCATGAACAACACAAACTAATGCAATTCAACCCAAAATGACTTGTTTACCTAGAAGTATGTTGACGTGTCGGTTACCAATTTTAAAAATAATTAATTTAAATAAATAAATTTTTTAATCCAGCCATGGAGACGAAGGGTACCTTCGCCACTTCGTCTCCATGGCCAAGAGACGAAGGTTTGTCTCCGGCTGGCTTCGTCTCCTGGCCATGGAGACGAAGGGGCGAAGGTCCCCCTTCGTCTCTAACCATGGAGACGAAGGTCTTCGTCTTCAAC